TTGAGTTGTTATTCTGGTGAAGTTCAAATTAGTTATCCATAAATTATGTTGATTTTACTAGTTATCAGGTTATTCAATATGTTATATGAAATAGATCAAGCAGTCAGAACAAGTTGAGCAACTTCTTTTTGATGTCTTTCTTGAATATAATTATTCTGATAGTTGGAATTAATGGTTGTTTAACTTGGATTTCTGGTGATAATACATTTGAAATAGTTGAGTTACTTGGTCTGATCATAATATCTTTATCGACAGTAGCTTTATATTCATCTAGTTTAGTTCTTTTTCTGTTATCAGCTAGATAATTATAGATAGCAAGCAATATTGAGTTGGTAAAGTTGGTTACATCTGTTTGTTGACCAGGAAATAATGTTTATAATGCTATTAATAAGAGTTGAATTTGAGATAGAAAATTAGTCTGATTGATATTATTAGCATTTGTTGGTGCTGATCTAGGAGGAGGAGGATTATTTCTTGGTGAAATGTTGTCATTATTATTTGATCAGTTATTTGATTAATCCAATTTGATTGATCCTTAGTAATATTCTGTTAATAAAAGCTGGTATTATAAGACTTGTAGCAATTTCTTGATAGATATTCAATCTCATTACAGTTATAACAAATCAGTGACTAATAGTTATTATCACAAGAATAGTTTCAGTCATTGCTTCTTGATTGGAAAGCAGGTTTTCTTAATGCTTTTAGACTATCTAACCTACTGGTCAGGTTCTGGAGTATAGTTGTGAGCTGAGTAAGATCAGGTATTGATCTGTTTTGAATTTGATAATATATAGTAGTTAGCTCTTTTGAATTGATCTTTTCAATAGTTTTAGCCATATGAATAATATTTGGTAGTGTTCTATCAGCATTTATTCTAACCCATTTGTGAATTTCTGGTTTTAGATCTCGCTTATAGATTCTGGTTTTATAATCATCTGGATAAGCATTGATAGAATTCACTTTCTTCAAGAGAGTATTGAATTAATTAGTATATTTATTGATGCTTCCAGTTTGTTAAAGAGTCTCGAGTTTATTTTGTCATTGTTTAACTTTGCGAGGGATGCAGAATTTTAGAACAAAGCAATATTTAAAATTATATTCATTATTTCTAATATTTGTTCAACTGGTTAAGGCAAGAGTATTGTTGATAACTCTTTGATCAAACCAAGTAGTAGCAGCATCTTTCAAGTATTCACATACTATTTGAATTTTGCAAGCATCAGTAACTCCATTGGCAGTGGTAATGACTTCAAAATCTCTGAGTCATTCAACAGGATTTTAATCATCATCTTTAAATTTGTGAATTGAAATATAATTCTTTTCAGCTCTCAGTCCAATAGTGAAAGTGATAGTAAGAGCATTTAGTCCATGGAGAACATCATTTAGATCAGCAGTTATTTTTTCATTTTCAGATTTTTCGATTGCTTCTTCTAGTTCAGAGTTTAATTCTTCTTCTGCTAATTGTTCTTGATCAGAAATATCCAGTTCTTTTTTAGTATTAGTTTGTATAATTAGTTGTTCTTGAAAGTCAATGTTTTGTTGTTCTTTTGCTATTTTTTCTTCTACTTCTTTGATAATTATTTGTTGATCTTCTATTATTTTAATGTTGCTAACAGTTTCAGAGTAATAATCATTAGATCTATTAGAATTCTCTTCAAATTCTAGATTGTGAAAGCCTTCAAGTATTCTTTTAACTAATAATAGTTGGTGATTAAATATATGTATGTTTTAGTAAATTAGAATATTTAATAGTCAAATTACTTGTCTTCGCAATTTTTCAGTTCCAATAGTAACAAGATTTGCTTTGTAGATATCTTCAAATAGTTGTTCAGTAATAAAGAATCCAGATATTGCACCTCACTCTTGGATCCAAGTGAAAAAGTTAGCTAGAGATTTGATTATTATAGCAAAAGATAAAAAACAGATATAACAATAATATTATTGAGTTATTTGAGATGTTGTATCTTGATGTTGAGCTTCAAGATAAATATCAAGATATTGCTACAGTTACTTTAAATGAAGAGTTTCTTTACTATTAGTAAAAGAGTTATATGAGTTAGGAAAGAGAAATAGATTGATAAAATTGGTCAGTACAAAAATAAGTATCTAAACCTGTACCAATTTCAACAGAAATTATTAAATAATTCTATCAATGATGAAAAGAGGGGTTGAAAAAGTGTGTTCAAAAGAGATGATTAACTAATAAGAGTTATTAATTAAAAAAAGGGTATTGATATTTCTATACTTATAGTCATACGTTCTAGTACTTTCAATACCAAAGAAAATGAATAACTAAAGAAAATATCACTTATTTAGAATTACAATGCACAACTATACAAAACAATATCATTTATTTAAAGTTGTAATACATAACTATACAAATCAATATTACTTATTTAAAGTTGCAGTGCATAATTATATCAAAAATAATACTATAGCAAATCAATATACTTATTCAAAAATACTTAATCATCTTTTCCAAATTTATAAACAAAAATAATAATTGAAAATTCAATTTTACACAAATCAATATTCAGTTTCTTGATCTCGCTCAAGATTTATGAAAAGTGACTTGAATTACAAGATTTGAAGTTCAATCAACAAATTATTTTTGCCAAATAACTTGTTTCAATGGAAGAAGATACAAGGATAAATATTAATTTTATAACAATAATGCAATTATTAACTTATTGTATTGTCACTATTTTTCAGAGTCATTGTCTATGATGATATTTCTGAAATATGGCAAATAACTGTATTCAATTGAAAGATCAGACTACTGAACTATCAAAACTTATATATAATTTAAATATCAAATATTAAAATAATGAGGGTTGGACATAACTTTTAACAAGAAACTGAATGAAATAAATATGATAACTATCAAAGCTTTCCTGAAGTACCAGCCAATAATAGCTTTATAAAAATGCAAATACGAATATAATAAATAAATATAAATGCTATCTCTCTTTAGGCCAGCAATACAAAAATCAAAATAATATAATACCTTCCTGGTATCTTTCAAAAATCTTAAAAATAATAATGCAAATAATAAATAAATAAATAATGCAAATAATAAATACGAATATAATACGAAGATGACATAATTAAAAGATCAAAATAATGTAAGTCACAACCAATTTTTATTATTAAAGAACATTTTGTAAAGTAATATTTGATCTTTATAACTTGATGATGATTCTAAGTTAAGATACATGTTGCTTATATATCTATTTTTATCTCAAAAAGAACCAATTAAAATCTAACACATTCTCATGTATCATGAGTAATACACAATATTACTCCAATTTGCCAAGTGTTGCACATTTAAATCTAGTGTCAACACATGCTAAAATACTAAAATACTATTGGTACTCCTTTGCTATTACACAAATAAAACTAATTAAACACGAAATAAACTTAATATAGCACAAGGTAATATCAATATAACACAAAGAAAAATTAAATACATGAGAAGAACCAATTAAAATATAGAAATAGAACACATGCTAAATCTTAATAAATGATCTACATTAAACATGTATTATGACATAAATCTAATTTATAATAGAAAATCAATTAAAATATCTTAATAAAAACCAATTAGATTTCTAATAATCATTATTCTTTGTCAAATACTATCATTATGTGAGAGAAATATCATTATTATAGATAAATATTGAGCTTCTCATGGTAATGATGCTATGCTCACCTTCCTGGTCTTTTGCATAAACATGTCAACAAATAGCTAAATAATATATAACATGTCACAACAATAACAATATTTCAAATTATATTTATTAAAAATATATTGTTAAAATCTAAAATTAAATTATATTATATAAAGTTAACTTAAGAGATAACTATATATTATCAATTATTTTGTATTAAATATATTATATAATTTTGTGACTATATTCAATTAAATTTCAAAGAGTAATGGATTTCACTATAATATTATAATAAATATTCATTGGTTAATAATTCATATTATAACCAAGTTTAATTATTTTGATATAATATTAAATTAGTAAATAAATCTCTAAAAACTCACTTATAATAATATAATTAAATTTATCTAATACAATCAAATACCTCTATATTTACCATTCTTGGAAAAGCAAAATTGAATGATTATAGAGGTAATGTGACTATAAAGTGATTTTTTTACTATGTTTATATATAAATAAAATTGCAAAATAGAGTGATTATAGAGGGGTTTGACTATATACATACACATTAGAAATCTCTGCCAGATTTTATCAATCATTAGTCGTTGCACCTCGGATGGGGGTGCTCGATCACCAGCCCGGATTAATAGCTACAGTAAACTTAAAGCACTGTTCAGATCGGGTTTGACCCGAAAATCGTAAATAACGTTTATTTTTAAGACACTTGTATTTTGTATCCTAAGTAGAGTTGTTCGGAATGTAATTGTATATATATTCACAGATTTTCGTTTAATTTCAATTAATATTGAACGAGAAACAACGATTTTTAGGCTGACCCGACCGAAATGTGCGTTCCGGGTCGGGTCACGGATTGGACCCTACCCGGTTGGAGCACTAATACCGATATCAAGAAGAGTTGATTAAACATCATTTCCAAGTTGTTGTTGAAAATAGAAGTGCTTCGGTGAATTTCAAGAGGTTACTAAATGCAGTGGTCACAAAGTATTTTGTCCTTTGTTCAGTTATCTCTATTCAAAAAGTACTAAACTAATATTCTTTTGCATCTTTAGCTTTATGTTTGTATCGATGAATACGATGCTGGTATGAACGAAGCTCTTAAAAACGAAACCCTCTTATCACTTATCATAAAAAGGAAAGTGTCCAAGTTCGAAAAAAATTGAAAGTTCGTTTAAACAATTCTACAGTCGTTCGTTATGGGTTTTAACATTCGGCAGATTTGGCGCTAAACAAAAAATTCTGCGACTTGAATGGATCCAAGAAATTGGAAATTGGATAGTTTGTCAGTATTATTAAAAAGAGAATAATGACATGGTTAAAAGAGGAAAATGGGTATTTTTTCGCCGTAATCAACCTGAAGGGAGTTTCAACACTGCACGTGTCCTGAACTGTATCAGGAAGTTTATGGAACAAAGGAAGAATTGGATGACAGTTGGGATCCTTCCGTTGTCCTTAATACACTTCTTGATTTTCCCCGACCCGCAAACATTGCCCTCTCAAACAACGTTGGACTTAATTGTTAACAAGCCCCTTGACAAATACATCCTTACCGAAGCACTCAATCGACGTCCGCTCGAATCTAGAAATGGTATAGAACAACGCTTTCGACTCACCAGTATTCGCGAGCTAGTAACCGATCGTACCCCGTTATTATCATTCATTTTCTATACTGGCGCCTTCACATATCAATACAACACAAATTTCGAATCCCGAATCGTATTGCCGAGAGGGGGTTTATAACAGAGGCGCTTAAGATTTATGACTGGAAAAAGGAGGATTTAATGCTGTACGGAATTGTTTGCAGATTTTGGAGGCAGAGGATAACTTTGAACCACTTTGCCGATTTATCGAGGAAGCCATCGAAGGACAATAGTGTTAAACATTCAAATGAAGAGGCATTGAAGCAAGCTTTTATATATATACTTTAATTCTCACTCTGCACGCAGACATTGAACCAGAATTTCGGGTGTATTTGCACCGTTAATTAGCAGGAGGGTTTATTATGTTAATGAATAACTTGTAAAATTTAAAAACAGGATTACATCTTATATTAATCACTGTAAATAAAGTTTCGCCTGAACTCGTCGTGAACTGAGTTCACAAATTTTCTTGTGATTTTTTTAATAAAAAAATAGACTTTTCACTTGTGTTCATTTTAATCGTGTTTGTAGTACATATACAGTCAAACCTCGATATAACGAACCTCTTGAGCTGGAAATTTTTTTTCGTTATATCGAGTTTCCTTATGAAACTTCGCTATATAGAGGTAACTTCTTCTCTTTCGTTATATCCAGGTTTCGTTATATCGAGGTTTGACTGTATATGCTAAAACATTTATATTAGAACAATCCAAATTCGCTGATCCGTTCTTACTGTTTGATGAAGTTATGAAAGAATTCATGTTGTTCACCCTGCATCTCAATAAATATCAAGTTGGATGTTCTGGTGTTTTAAGAAATCGGGTTTGCGAATTTTTGATCATTTTCATGATACAGATTTTCGTTAAAAGATGCATAATCAGCCTTCAGCACCCTCCAATAGTATAGACATTTAGATTTGATATATTTTTTAGAAAGGCACTCACCACCATGCAAACGTGCAGTTTTCTGCATCTCATTGAGATTAGTTTAAACCCATATTTTGCACTTCTTAAAGTAGCATACCATGAATGATTATTTGTGGTCCGAGAGCAACTGTAGAATACCTATAATTTATAATTTCAAAACTAATGCTTGACAGTTTAATAACTCCATTATCAGAATTATCTAATCAAATTAATTCATTTAAATCCGTATACCAAAATTACTATTTTAAGTACGTAATGTGAATTTAATTAAGGTATTAATCACCCCTACTGTACGGAATAAATAAAGGCCTCATTAGATAACACTTATATCAATTAAAAGTTGATTACTTGTATGCAGATTGCCATAATAATATTACCCAAAAGTGGCAAAAAAGACAATAAAAGAATGCAATTATTTCCAATCAAAATAATCTTTTGACACAATGGAAGAATACGTGCATTTAATTTCTGGCTGTCGCGTGTATTCATCATCTCCAAATGTATTGGATGATTGTGCACGCGCCATTGTCATCCAGACATAGTTTTTTATGACGTTGAATACTAAATTAAAAAATAGTGTGTGCTCTGTCAGACTCTTTTGAAAGATTCATAATTCCTAATTACAGAAAACAATCTATTCCCACCAATTTAAAGCTAGCAAAAACCAACAATATCAATGTTCTAGTGATACATATTCAGTTACAGTAAGAAAAAAAGCCGGTAAACAATAACGGCCCAACGTTATTGAGTGAGAAGTTGTACGAAAAATCAGAAATGGAAAACAAGAACATTACATACATATAGCGTATGTTCGAGGAAAAAGATCAGACAGTGCAACCAGACCCTGAATCAATATACGTAATTTAAAAATGGTAAACAATATGTTTCGGCCATGAGTTGCATATGGTTAGTTGACCATGTTAAAATTAATATAATATGTGTGTGTATGCGCATATCCATGAATTTTTCCTTCGGTTTTTCTTTACCCAATTTTTTTTTACTTTCGTTAAATTCATTTTTAACTATTCCTTCTTTTCCATTATTTTTGCAAAATTTGCTCATTTCTCTTCTATTTCGCTAAATAATCCATTAGAATCTAGAATAGCTGCCAGACAGCTATCGCACGATCCGTTTTCTCTATCGTTTTTGTTGGAGGATAATTTGGATCAAATTCGAACTGATATAGTTTGTTTCTTAGAATTCGTAGCACCGAATTGAATTCTCAACGCCTGGCTGTTCAATTGAGAAGTTTCTTTCCATGCAAAATTTTAGATTCTTTTGTAACATAAATCAATAGACATTAAAAAGGACTTTTGTAAATATTATAAACTAAAAAATGGAAGAGAATTTAGAGTCATCGAATAATAATAATAGTAATAATAATAATAATAATAATAATAATGATGATGCTGATGATATTGAAGAAAAGACGATAACAAATACGGACCCGACAAAACAGCGAATATTAGCTCATTCAATATTAGCAATCATAACCTTTCTTTATTTAACCATCACAATAATTTTATTCTATGCCCGACGGAAACGAATAACGGACATTAGATATCGACCATTACGCTTAAACATACTGAACACTGTTGCGACCATCATGCTGTGCGTGATGTTTTGTTTAAGAACCGGATTCTGGCCGAATGAATACCCATGCTTTTTGATTCATTGGCCTGCATATATTGGCTACGCTCTATGGTGCACGACAACTGTCTGTCGTGTTTTATCTTTTGCTTGGGTGGCGCGTTTTAATTTGGCAAAATTGAGAATGAGTAAAGCGTATCCAGAGAGAAATTATAGTACTTATTCTTTGGGCGGTATTGCGACACCAACAACACCGCGATTTAAATCGGAAGGTTCGGAAAAAGGCAATGTCAATTTTAACGGTGGTGATGGTGTATTGGATACATTCCGAAGATTGAAACGCTGTGCTACGGATAAATGGTTGTCGAGAAATATCTTATTTCCGATAATGAGCGTGACATTTATACTTACTTTGGTGATGCAAATTATGTCGCCAGCATTATCAATAAATCCAATGAATAAAGTTTGTTCGATAGGATTTGCGTAAGTATTGTAACGTGTAAATCTTTAAAGTTTCCTTTTTTTCCGGACTTAAAAATATGTTCTTTGCGTTTTTTTTTTTAGATCGATCCCATTACTAGTTTTTCTCGGATTCTTCATTGTTATTATATGCCCAGTACTTTTTTGCCTTATTTATGGAATTCGTGATGCTTATGGTGTGCGGAACGAACTAATAGTCACATTAGTTAGTGGAACGATTGCATACATCGGATTTTTTCTATTCGAACGGATTTTTGAAAATCTTGGACAATACTTTGGAAGCTATTTATTTGCATGGGTTTCCCTCATAGTATGTCATACACTCTCAATCACAGTCCCTTTGCTGAGAACTTTTGAATTGAGTTCGAAATCAATAATTCCGAGTTTTCATATATCGCGAACAAGTAGTTTCAAGAGTTATAGTTCAGAGATAATGACCAATTCGAAAAAGTATGCACAGTTTATGGATGTTTTAGAAGATTCACAAGAGTTTGAAAAGTATAGAGGTAAATTTTGTTATAAATTTTGTTATGGGTCTTTTTATCTGTATGTATATGTCGGCGCAAATTCTTAAACAATTTCTCAATTTGATAGAATGTGCAGCTGCATGTTTCTGCACCGAATTGATTCTCTTCTTGGAGGAATATCAATTTTTAAAACTTCGCGTTGCTCAATGTTGCAATCCAGATATGATAGCGTCACAACAAGATGATGAATCAATTCAAGAACCTGAAAAAATACACGTTCAAAATTTGAACACTTTCATGTTTCCAGAAACAAAAAATTTAGCACGTTCTTCAATGTTACTTCCTTCCACCCCGTGCACAATCTCAATTGGTAAATTTATACATTCTTTATATTTTTCAATTTCAATTTCAATATCATTAATTCTTTATTATTTATTATACCAAATTTAAACCATTAGTTGAAACGATTTCCGCCGCAAGATGGATTCCGTTCCCAATTCATGAGCTCCGCAACGACTATTTAATGTTTTACGAAACGTTTTTCGACCAAACTTCTGATCTGGCAATAAATCTTCGTGGAAGTACATTGACGTCCGTAAAAGCAATGATACAAAATGATCATTTTGAAATTTCAATGTTTGAAAAGGCACGCGAGGAAGTTTTGGTGCTGTTATATCGAAATACGTTTGATCGATTCTTAAGAATCTATAGCGGAGGAACATCTACTATCTCTGTTTCTTACAAGCAAAATAAATAGAATGAGGATTGATTTCCCTCCCTCACGATTATCCACTCAATACATTATTGTACTATAAACCAAGTGTAAATTAAATATCGAGCATGTAATTTTAGCATATCTAGAGAAGCGCGGATATTGTTTATGGGGATTTAGCTATATTTAACTTATTTAATTTTTTCTCTTATTCTTTTTTGTATATTATTTGTTTTTCTATTCACGTGAATTATTATACTTTCGCTTTGGTGCGGAAAAAAAGTTTTTTTCTTTTAATAAATTAGAATGTATTAATAAGGATTAGAATGTATTAATAAGGATAACGATAAATTTATTGTTAAAGTATAAATAGAATAAATTTTATAAAAAATCATTATATATATACTGAAACCTTTTAAAATTAAAATTCAGGCACGAGATTTTTACTTTAACAATTTGTTAAAAAAGATATACGTAATAGTATGTATCAATAAATAATATATATACGAAATATAATGAATACAATATTAACATTTACAAATAATAAATATAATATACATTTAATGACGCGACGACTATATGGTGTTTGTAGGTGATTGCTGACTAACTTCGCGAGTATATTGTTCAGTATTCGTTCCCCCTCTAAAATACATTGAATCCAATACTCTTTGAATTGTCGGACGTTCAGCTGGATTGAAGTCTAACATTTTCAACGCGAGTTTACGCGCCTGCTCATCGGAGAAATCGCCGCGGATATGCTCAAATGATGTCATATTTTTCAGATCATCGAAACTTTCATATATAGTATTTTTGTTATATAGAAAGTAAAAAATAGCGGCCAAACTGAAAATGTCTTGGGCATGACTAACTCGAAGATCACTATCGTTTTGCAGTACCACCTCTGGTGCAGTAAAGCCACGTGAGCAAAAAGGATTAATTTCATTATCACCCCCGTTCGGTAATAGATAATCATTGAATCTTTTCGCACTTTCCCAATCGCAGACCCGTATCTTGTATATATCGGTTTGTTTGCAAATTATATTGGAGGGCTTCAAGTCGAGATGCGCAATTTCTTTATCATGAAAATATTTCAAGGCAGTCGAGATACTCAATAACAGGTGCTTGATCGCAATCCCGTCCCTGATCTTATACTGATAGCGCTCTAGAGTGTCTCCAGCAAAACTCGTGACTGATATATACCCACTCATGCTATGACTATACTCCATATCCTCCCACCCGACTACATGTTTTACATGGCTTGATTGCAACTCTCGAAGAAAACTGGTTTCAGTTTCCCAAGGGGCTCGCCGTGAAAACGCTTTAAGAATAGAATATTTTAATAACTGGATTTGCAAATTATTATTATATAAAGAAAAACAATACAAGTATAATTTATAAAATGCTCTACCTTTAATGATAACCGGTTTAGATGTTATTATATGTTGGCCTTTGTACAATCGGTTACGGTAACGATTCGAACGTTCATTTGAACCAAACTCGTCGTCATCGCCAATGGCATGTAGTATTACGTACTTACTGCATACTATCTTCGATTCCGGTCGTTCTTGTATGGGTGGAGGAAAACGGAAATCTTCATTTGACGGTGAACGGATTGTCTTCCCTCTGATCATACTTCCTGTGCGTGACAATGAACTTCTCGTATGGGGATCGTCATCACTAGGATTTGACATGGGACTTGGAGGTGATGGTTGATTGGTGGATGGTCTACGAGATTGATTTGACAATTGCTCTGGATCAACTGAGCCTAATAATCAATTGAATTAATATAACTAACAGCGAGACATATTTAAAACCAGGTAATGATAATTACTTTCACCCCCTTCAATGTCTTCGACTATTTCTTTTCCGGTTAATATCTGAGTTGGCTTTTTTTTTAATGAAGTCTCGGCTTGTGTAAATGATTGTGCATCATCCTGTGGTTCGTCAGTAATTTCAGGATGTTCTTCATTTACATTCGTCTTTCCTGTTAATTTATTTAGGGTGTTTCGGTGTGTATTACGATTACTCGTCATATCCGAGCCTATAGAAGAAGTAGTCGATGATCCGGACATACGCCTTACAATTTGTCCCGAATGCGCCGAAAGAGAGTCATATTCATCTTCTTCGAAGAGCCGCTGGAAGCTCGTAAACTCGTGGAGAGACAACGAAAAACGAATGTAGCCCGCGTCCAAACCACCTTCCGTAAATGTTAATTCCCCTGCTACATTCGATTATATTAATACATTAATTCCTTGGTATAAATATGAATAGACGTATAATAAAAAAAAGGCAGCATACTTTCGATTGGTCCTCCTCGCATCAATTTCCTCCAATTTGTTTCAGAGCCGATCTCGAATCTCGTCTTAGCGAACTCATTTGCCTGTGGACCATATCGACATTGAATCACCAATACAAGTTTTCTTCTGTCCTTAGCCAGCATATCCATTGAGATAGGGTATTTACAAATGTTATGTGATACCTTCCAATAGCGTAGCGTCGAGTGTATTTTCGGTTTGTTAAGCACAAACTCGAGGTGCCCGGTCTTTCGCAGACCTCTGCAAGATATGTGGTTCAATAATATCATGCCAATCTTATCGCCTTCACGAGCTTCATCAGCTAATTCCTGATCGGCATTTCTTGGAGGATTGCCGGAAAGGAAATACATGTCGAAAACGATCTGCCCGACCGAGAGATCATGTTTCATAAGGTCCATTATCACTCTGTTTTCTTGTTTCTCGTACAACCTCAAATCTGCTCTCGCTTCACCAATCATGGCTTCGTTACCTTTACGTTTCATATCGAAGCAACGCACCCTGAGATATTCATCTCTTCGTTTTAGAAAAATATTATATGTTAAATTGATTTTCAAAATTATTTTAAGCTTTCTGAAATATTTCGAATTCAAAAACTAAAACCAAACCTTATTGGAGGAGCTAATTCATAACTTAAATGTTCGTTCCAAATTGCTTTACCTCGTTCGTCGCTACATATTAACATTGTGTCACGTGAGGTTAATATAATGGATCATTTGGTAGTGGCAATAAGGCATAATCGACATACATTTTTGACTCTGTTGTTAGTCTTGTAGCGCCATTAACTACTACTTCCAAATTAATTGTTCTAGATTTTCCGCCAAATAGTGGGAATCTGGGTTGTTTTTCGCCTTTCTCGAGTAAACCACATCGTATATGTTTGACAAGCAAAATTCCAGCTCGTTTTGCAGGTAAAGAGAGTCTACTGCTTGATAAAGAAGCAACCGAAGATGGACCACTTTTGTAAGGATGTGCCATTTCTCGAAAGGATAATAATTTATTTTATCGTAAAAAAAATCTCGAAAAATTTCTATCGTAAAATTTCTATCGTAAAATTTCTATCAAAAAGAAAAAAAGAAAAAAGAATAAACTTGGTTTGATTTTTTTCAAAGTTGAATTATCTGTTCTACATGTGTATCTGTTTTCTACCTGTCCTACTTGAATGATTGTTACTAGTGCAGGTAAACACACAAAATTGGCAAGATAAAGAAATCTGAATGAACACACGGACATGCAACTCCTAAAAAAAGAGTTCTTTGCAAACCAGACCAATTAAAAGATTCGTAAATTTAAGTCATGTGAGTGAGCATTTGAACAAACTCGTATTCTTTACATATCCCACCAACAATCATAATTTTTTTAATTCTGAGATATGTTTCTAACGCTAATATTTTACAGTTATCGAAATTTAGTGCTATATACCAAAAAACTATTGTAAATATACAAAGAAATGACGGGCACAGTAACAAATAAAGGAGAATTTTACAACTTGCCATCACGTTTAAAAAAAATCAATTTCCCACTCGAGTTTATTAAAATTTTGGTGTCAATACTTTTTTAATATCACTAATTATAATTTATTGCTTTATTAAGTACAAAACATAATGATTAAAAGTACATAACGATAAAAATTATATTGCATAAAAGATAAAGGTTTATTTATTGCACTAATAATCAATATCATTGGTAGGTGCATAAAGTTGTTGTTGTCTTACAATTTCTTCTCGCTGAAATTGTTTCGGCTCGCTGGTCTTTGAATCGACAGCAACTAATTTTGTATTAACATGATAAGCTTGTTCGCCCATCTCTGTCTCGTCGAGACCTCTTTCTTCAGAGTCAACATCGGCACGTATCGATAGTCCGGGCGTTTTATCCATAAGGTATAAAATTATGTACGTAACACTGAATGAATACGTGAAACCGGCTACCGAATCTGTTAGTTGGAATCCGATTTGTTTCCAATTCCCGTCTAACCAGCCACCGTCGATCTTTGTCGCGTTATCTAAGTACGCGATTGATTTTTGAGCGAAGATTCCGGTCAAAATGTTTCCTGTTATACCACCAACACAATGCACAGCAAAGACGTCTAACGCGTCATCAAAATCAAAAATATGTTTCAATTTGACAGCGTAATTGCATAATATACCGCCAAAGAAACCGAATGCAACTGCGGCAGGCGTTCCAACGAAACCCGAACCCGGTGTAATAGACACTAATCCAGCAACTGCGCCCGAACAAAAACTCAATGCCGAGAATTTACGCTCCAATCGATAATCCAGTAACATCCAGGTGAGACCACCAACTGATGCTGAAATATTTGTTACAGTATACGCCATCGCCGCACGAACATTACCACTTAACGCTGAGCCACCATTGAATCCAAACCAACCAAACCATAGTAAAGTTGTACCAAGTAAAATATGCGCAACATTATGAGGCTTGAATTCGTCAGTGCCGTGTCCATGACGTTTACCGAGAAGAATACAATAAGCGAGAGCAGCAGCACCAGAAGAAACATGCACTGGGGTTCCACCTGCGAAATCAAGTCCACCTAATTTATATGACCATCCATTTGGATTCCATATCCAACAAGCGATGACATCATAAACAAGCGTCGTCCAAATAAAGATAAAAATCAATGTTGGCACGAGTCGTGCACGTTCAGCGCCCGAACCTATTGCTAAAGCTGGGGTAATTGCTGCAAACATGCATTGATATGTGGCAAACACCAAATCCGGTATTTTGTCACTTACTATCGAATCTTCATCTTTCACATTTATAAAGAATGCATTATCTAAATTTCCAATGAATCCACTTGCATTCTTACTAAAAGCTAAACTATATCCAAATAGCCACCACTAATAATTTTAGATTATATTTAGAATCTGTCTTGTATTTATCGATTTTAAATTCAATATTTGACGATTGATACCTGAAAAGAGACGACAGCTACTGACAATATACATAACATTATAAGTGATAACGCATTTTTACTTCTAGCCATTCCACTATAAAAATATCCTACTCCAGGCACCATAATCCATACTAATGCTGTTGATAATAACACAAAACCAACGTCGCCGGGTGAATGCTTTGGATCTGTGTGTGTTGTGTTTGTTGACATTTTTTTTTCGAAATTATATACTTGAGAATTATATTCTTTTAAATAGATAGCCAATAATGGTGAATGTTAAAATTACAAATGAATGTTAAAATTACAAATGATAAAACCCAAGTAGAAAAGTTTATACAAATAAATAATGAATGATGTTTAAGGTATCGATGAGAATTTTTTAAATATAAATATTATTACTACTCAGTATCCATTATTCATTCAGAGACTTGAATGTTCTTAGAAAGTCTGGTCTACACGTTGAAAGAAGTTCTAATAAAAAGGAACGGAAATCCAAATATTATTTTGAAAGAACACGCATTATTAATATAATGCTAGGAATGGAGAAACCACAATATATTTATATCGACACATTTACAAAACAGGAATACGTACCGGTATCGGGTATGTCGTGCAATTTTCTCAAAATGGTTTATCATTAAATGCTACACTTTTTTTACCTTGCGGTTGTTGGTTCGTAAATTTAACGATACATGATTGTGCTGCTAAACAAATTTAATATTTCCACACAATATAATCACCTTCTATATAATCACATCTATACAATCATCGTCTTAAAAGAATCTCCTATATGACAATTATATTAAAACATCTCTTATTTAAAATTTTCAATAAAAAAATAATAAACACTGGACATTTTTAGAATGAATTAATTCATTATAAAAATGAAAATTCAACAAGAAAAGGATTCGTATTCAAGAAAACAACAGCGACTTTACAATGGGTGGAACAAATATCTAGGGTCTCGAAAACTATTTTTTTGACATATCACGAGATGCAACATGTGCAGTGCCTTATCTAATTAACGCGCATGCATTTGCACTATCGCTATCGTCAATGAACTGGTTGCCAAGAGATATTACAACAACCATTTAGGCTGCAAGTAGTTAGTCCGGTTTAATCTCGTGACCTTTCCTATTGATAGCATTTTCCTAATTTGGGAGCGACCAATCCAATGTGTAACACACAAAATTAATTAGATAACGATAAGGGTGTCAGCCGACAAATTACTTTGAAAAAGATATCGAATTTCGCGCCTAAAATTTTCACCTGGATTGGTCACGTCAAATTAGGAAATTTAAAAGTGGTTCCGAAATTTGCGATTTAATTTGTGAAGATAGCGACAGCGATAGGGCTGTTGGACACATTAGTTATCATGATTCAGACCACATAGATAAGTTTTGGTAGTAGAAATTCAAATCAATTATTATTCTCAGATTAAATTCTCAATTTTAAATTTTATAAATCATGACAGAACGGTTTTAGACAAATGAAGTATTCAATCGAAGCATTATAATATGACTATCGCTTTTCAATCAAGTAGGCAAAGTTTTCTTTTACAATGAGTCAATCTATAAATAAGTTTTGTACATGTATATAGCAATTATAAATAATTTTTATTTCGAGAATTAATCGCACCAATCAGATAAGTCATTAATCCATATTTCGTAGGAGTTACCTAATCGCTATTGTTATATAAATTCAGGGGCAAACTTATAACAATAACCCAGTGATGGACAAAATTATATCATTTGCTATTTGACAAGTGACTTTAGGTCATTAGACACTAAATTTTAGTAGGTCATTTGAGGTCACTGTCCAACACTGCAATAACGATAACCCGTAATCTGGAGCCGATTTTTAATATCTAAATATGAATATTCAAATCAGCAGAATCTTGTAATTATTGACTATTAAGGTTACGTAATTCGTCTGGATATTCATAAGCCAGCTGATTATGGATGAGAGTAAAGATACCTGACTAAACTATTTTTTGACTTACGTCATTTTGCAATTTTACGAAAATTTTATAATAATTTGACAATAATCTTAAAGAACATGTTCTTTAGAATAATATTCCAGCAAAAATTAATTTCGTCACTAATTATTATAGGTCAAAACAATTTCGTCAAGAGTTTCGCCATTTCGTCAAATTTAATTTCGTCTGCTAATTAAATCAATTTCGTCAGATATCACTAGATGAGAGCTGAAAGTAATGATTTAGTTGAATTTTTTAAAATTTATTTATTAGAAAAATTTCCGGCTCCAGAATATGAGTCATCATATGAAATACTCACGAAGCGACCAGTCCTAAAGCTACCACCCACATTAAGATCGTCACAAACGCGTAAACTGCACTAGCAAATTGAGTTCGCTGAAGTATAATGAATGATTCAATTTACTATCGCTATTAGATTTTCCCAATTCTAAGCTTTCAAAAATATCTTTTTTTTTTATTAAAATTGGTTAACTTGACTGACATTTCTAAGAAAATTTACATTTCAATATTAGATAAAATTTATGATTAGGATCAGCAAAGCTGCTCTATTTAGTTTGTTTTTTTAAAAAAAATACTTTCTTTAATTGCTTTTATTTATTTCATTCAATTAATATTTAATTCGTGATCCGCGAGTTAAGGAAAGAGTTAACTATATCGATATAACTTTTGGGGCATATTTCATATGATGATTACTAATACAGTGCTCGTCAGAAGTAACGGACCTCCCATAACTTTCCATAGATCGTGTATAATGTTCTGAAATTTTCCGAGCACAAAGAATATTACAAATGCTGCTCATGATACCTTTTATAGATTGGTAGAGCTTCTATATCGGGTATTGTTCATAAACTTTCACGTCCCAAATACAGTTATTTCATAACACACATCTCAATATTAAATAATCTAATTCTTGACATCCAGTGATCCGATTTGAATAAAAATATACCATTCAATTCGCCTAGTCGGGGTGAATCGAATGGTAATATTTTTTCAAATCGGATCACTGGACGTCGAAATATTGGTCCTAAAGTAGCAGATTTGTTTTTTTAACATTAACAAAAATAAATCGGTCAATTTAGGACGTGATATCTCGATCTCCAGTGATCAGATTCAAACAAATATATAACCATTCGATTCGTCTTGACTAGACAAATCGAATGATATATATTATTTTTTTGAATCGGATCGCTGGCGAGCGAGATATTACATCCCAAATTGACTGATTCATTTTTCTGGCGATCGACAAATATGAATCGATCACTTTAGTACATAATATCTCGATGCCCAGAGATCCGATTTGAGCAAAAATACTACCATTCGATTTGTCTAATCTAGAAAAATCAAATGGTAGTATTTTTGCT